CTTCTCTGATGCAGTGGATATGCAGGATCTTATCTGACATGGCTTTACAAAATCCCTAATCTACCGTGGATTTACAAATAGGTAATCTGATAGACCAATATCTTGTAGGAAATTGCAGTGGCAGAGGTTGACAAAATCATGCTCACTGATGCACCCGTTCTGTTCCCTCCTGGGCAGGTATCCTTCATTGTTGAATGGGTGTTTTTCCTGATTGACATTGAAGATGGAATCTTTCTTTTCGCATAATTATATTGGAAGAAAAGTGAAACTCACAGATAGGCAATGACCAATGATAAAGTAACCATCTTAAAGACAGGGACAACATCCAACTGGAACTGAAAAATTTATGGAGATAAAAACAATTAACCCATATAAATATTCAGAAATAAAAAAAAAGTCCCCATTTGATTTGACACAATAAATAGTTAGTGTTAATCAAAGATCTTTTGAAGATAGTAAATTCTTTATTGCGTTATGATATCTTTAATGTATGGAAGCTTGTCCTTTTAGAAATCTATTGTTTCAATGTGTCTTATAAGTTGAATGCTCAATTTATTGCCATGTTGTTGTTGCATGAATGCTAGAATGCTTTCTTATATTAGTGTGAGTTGAAGTTATTTTGCTGTTCATATGTCTTTTAGTGATCTATTTATAATATGATCTCATTAACTCGATCATTAATTTGGCACAGTTGGCATTGGCTGCTCTGCAGAGTGCAAATGAGGTGCATAGAGTACTTGATTTTGAGAGGTTTGAATTGTGATAACAACTCTCTCTCTCTCAAGTTGGTTGCCAGTATCAAGCTCAACTCTTGCTCTTGGCCAAAGTATAGTTGCTGAAGTAATGATTTTTATCATATCCTACTTTTCAGATATCTTGAGAGTGTCCTCTCTCGTCAGAATTCTGCACACATGATCTCAGAGATCAGTGAATCTCTACATGCCGTCAAGAAATGGGTATGAATCTTAGAAATTGCAGCTTGAATTTGTTGGAAACTTCTTTTGCATCACCCTGTTGGTGACACAGATGGGGAGAAGATTAGTCAAACAATGAAATAATAATTCTGTGTTTGGTGGATGCAATTCAATTCTAGAGAATGAAGTCCTTTTGCATCTAATTGTTATTATTATTTTTTAACATGCAGGTGAGGAAATACAGTTTCCCTACGGATAAGGATATGAAGCACATAAATCGGAAGCTGAAATCATGCTGGGGTCATAACTCACACGAAGAGTATGTCTTTCACACTCACAAATACTTGCAACTATTGGTAGTTAAATATCTTACAGATTCTTTCTATTTTCATTTTTCCACTGATGTTTGACTGTTTGGCAGCAATAAGAAAAGGGAGAAGAAATCAAAACACAAGTCCCATAAGAGTTCGAATGAAATGCAAAATGGCCCAGGACTGACTTAATTGTATGTTGCTCCTTGTTCACGAGTGTTTCCTACATTGTTTAAGCGATTTACTAACTTGCTTTTTGCTTCCCAGATTTTTGTTGGAGATTACATTTATGTACCAATTTGGATGACATCAGTCGATTAATATCTTATGGAATTACAGAAGGTCCTTGTACTTTAATTTGTTATATCTTGATTTGTGTCTGGAAAGTTGAAAATCTCAATGGGGGCTGAATTTTCTAATTTGCCATTGTTCCGGTTTTATGAATGGAACCCAAAATTTCTTTTTTTCACTGTCAAAATTTCTCCTAATCCAGAACTCAATCTGACAGCAAACAATTGAAAGGTTTTTCGGAGGAGGGGAGATACTCATGCCAGTTGAGTATAAGATACATGTTAATATTCATTTATTATTATTTGTTATGAGCATGTTATATATCTGGAATTTTTCTATATTTATATGAGATACGTTTTGGGCATGCAACTAATCATTAGTAGTTCTGTGAAATATAGACTGAAATTTATTTCAGGATCCCAGGGTAATCAATTTTGTAGAGCCATCAACTTTGAAACGAATTTAATGGATTAGGTACAATATTCCTTGAGGTATCATCATTGTTGTATTGAAAACTTTTTACTTGTCAAAAGGGCAATTCTTGAATTGAGTGTGATAGCATAAACAAAATGATCGTTGTGGTTTATGGTAAATCCTGATGAGTGTGATAGCAATCCATCAACCATTGAAAGCAGAACGTTTGCCACCGGAGTGTAGGGGACCTGGATCATGGTTATAAAACTTGATTTTTGGCATGAGGCTTGGATGGTAGCAATTTAAAATGATTTGAAAATATTAAAAAAATATTAATTTAAAATAAAAATATTTATTTTTTAAAAAATATTTATAAAATATAAAAATAAACAATGTAGCACATCTCAGAAAAAGCACGGCAGGTCTGCAGTTTTCTTCCCAGCCATTGTTGAACGATCATGCATGTGAGCATGCAACCATTTTCCAACATGACATGCGAACACTGCTACTAGCTCTCCTCTACACTCTGTCAGGTAGGATTTTTTCGTAGAATCACAGGGATTTTCATTCTCAAGAACTAGCCAAGCATAGGATTTCTCCACCTTTCTTTGGATCGTAAATGCCTAGATGAAGATAACTCCTGCAAATTTTGATGTAGCGGTGATACCGAAGACCATGCAATTGGATGATGATGAGAGGGACATCCCATCAAATTCAAACTGAGTTGGAGGCATGCTAGGAAGATGAGCTGTAACAATTAGTCCATGATTTTATGGATATTTTGATAAACAAAAAGGATTTAAAAAGCTATATAAACGTAACCTAACTTAAAACAGGCAGTTATAACATCTAATTTCATTTTTGGATCAGGTTCCAATATTACAAGAAAGCCCTTGGTCAAAGAATCTGGAAGTAGATGCATCTCGCGGGAAGAAAACAGGAAATTATCTTGAAACCGGCTCTGTAGCAGTGTCTGCGCCTCGCCAAAATGTGAAACACTAGCAGTGTGAGCCTCAATGGATTTTGCCAATTCTCTGAGATGGAGGTTCTGACACTTTTTTTTGGAGTGAGCAGCAGATAGATCATCATGTTTTAAGACAATTACTTGTATATTTATGTTCCTGATTAATGAAAAATTAATCAAGGAGGATGATGCATCTGTTCAACAACTAACATGTTTTGAAGTTGTCGTCCAAATTACAAAGGCTGGTATGGATGTTTTGGCATTTGTACACCTGAACCACATGATGCCTTAATTTGTTAATACACCAGATCATTGCAAGCTTAGGTAGTCATAAAGAGATGCTTTAATCCACCAACATAAACTGCTTAACATTGGGCTAAACTTAGAGCTGACTTCTAATCAAACACTCCAAATATAGAATCATTAAAAGTTTAGGGTATCCATTAAATTGAAGTTATTAAATTTGCTAGTCAATTATCAAATTCAGAAGTTAAGTAGATTCCCCTGAATTGACTAAGGTTAATTTAAATAATATTGTTTCAAGATTTTTTCTTTTAAAAAAAGTTAAATTAGATTTTGATTTGGTTAATTATATTATAGGTTAACTTGTTAAGTCTGACTAGATCAACTCCTATCTAATTTAATTTAAAATACAAGTTAAGTTAGGTTTTATGTTGATAAATTATAAAATTAATATTGTTTCTTGATATAATATTAAAATTTTATTAATCAAATAATCATAAGTTTAAATCTCATTATTTTTATTTTCTTTACTAATTAAAATTTTTACTAATTAAAATGTAATTAATAACACAACCTAAAATAAGCCTAAATTATATGTTAAAATCTAAATTAATAGTTTAAATTTCTAATTTAATATAAATAAAACCAGGTTTAATAAAAATAATAAATTAAGGTTAGAGGTGATGAGATGGATTTGGGCTGAAATGAATACGATACTTAAAATGCAGTAACGTCGATTTTTGAAACAATTGGGTAAACAATAAGCTCCATCATATAATATGAACACTATACTTTTCCCCTGTCATTTTACAACATCTGAAGCAGGACAAATCCCACTTTCTGCTATTATTACGAATGAAATAAGAGACTCATGAGAATGATAATACACAGTATACAGTTGTTCTTCTCCCTACTTCATCTTCCCTGTATATGTAAGTTGAACTAAAAAAAAGAACCAAGGAGTGCTTTTGTAGTTTCTGCACAATAATTGAGCGCCACCAAATGCAAGGCATAGGCACTGGGGCACAGCAGCAAGCTCAATCTTCTTGACCCCTTTAGAATTTATGGACCAAAGACGAGGGGCGAGAAGTTCAAAACAAAGATCCACACGAAAACACACATTCAATCTACAGCCTGCAAGCTTCACCCCACCACATGTTCTGATTGAAGATCGTCAATTCAGACACTCGTTATCAACATTGCTAGCCAAACTTCCTGACGAGCGAGTCCTGATGAATGCTGGTTTAATTACAGTCCAATCCACATTCCTCCAGAAGTGGACCACTGGACTTGGCCAAGAATGGATCGATCCGAACCCACAAAAGAGAGAAGATTGAAGCAAGCAAAATTGACCAGATAAATTCACAAGTAGATTCACCTAAATTTATCAAGGTTAATCTAAAATAATATTATTTTAAAATTTTTTTTAAAAAAAGTTAAATTAGATTTTGATTTGGTTAATTTTATTATGGGTTGACTTGTCAAGTCTGACTAGATCAACTCCTATATAATTTAATTTAGAACACGAGTTAAGTTAGGTTTCATGTGAATAAGTTACAAGATTGATATTGCTTTTTGATATAATATCAAAATTTTATTAACCAAACAATCATAGTTTAAATCTTATCATTTTTATTTTCTCTACTAATTAAAATTTTTACTAATTAAAATCTAATTAATAACATAATCTAAAATAAGCTTAAATTATATTTTAAAATCTAAATTAATAGCTTAAATTTATAATTTAATATAAATTAAACCGGGTTTAATAAAAATGATAAATTGAGGTTAGAGGTCATGAGAAGGATTTGGGCTGAAATGAATACGATACTTAAAATGCAGTAACGTCGATTTTTGAAACAATTGGGTAAACAATAAGCTCCATCATATAATATGAACACTATACTTTTCCCCTGTCATTTTACAACATCTGAAGCAGGACAAATCCCACTTTCTGCTATTATTACGAATGAAATGAGAGACTCATGAGAATGATAATACACAGTATACAGTTGTTCTTCTCCCTACTTCATCTTCCCTGTATATGTAAGTTGAACTAAAAAAAAGAACCAAGGAGTGCTTTTGTAGTTTCTGCACAATAATTGAGCGCCACCAAATGCAAGGCATAGGCACTGGGGCACAGCAGCAAGCTCAATCTTCTTGACCCCTTTAGAATTTATGGACCAAAGACGAGGGGCGAGAAGTTCAAAACAAAGATCCACACGAAAACACACATTCAATCTACAGCCTGCAAGCTTCACCCCACCACATGTTCTGATTGAAGATCGTCAATTCAGACACTCGTTATCAACATTGCTAGCCAAACTTCCTGACGAGCGAGTCCTGATGAATGCTGGTTTAATTACAGTCCAATCCACATTCCTCCAGAAGTGGACCACTGGACTTGGCCAAGAATGGATCGATCCGAACCCACAAAAGAGAGAAGATTGAAGCAAGCAAAATTGACCAGACAATAATGATTGTGGGAGTTCTGTTCTGTCGGCCGAGTAAACCTTTCAGGAAAGGGTACAGGTGAACTATCACCCAGAATGCAAAGAAAAGCTTACCAAACAAAGGCCCCCATGACTCATAGCCATTATTTATAGCATTTGAGACACCAGCCACGACTCCAACCAAGTTTATTATCAGCAATGTTGTTGGTGGGATGAGTAACGTGGTCCACTTAAAGGCGTACAGCTCTGAGAACTCATCATCATCTCCTCCTTTAGACGTCACTGTGAAGTTCGTATCAACACCAGCTAGAACCTTTAAAAGCCCCTGGAATACTGCAAATAGATGCGCTGATACCCCTCCAATCACCCAAAATTGTTCGTTTCTCCACCATTCATCGATACCAACTCCACTCCATCTCATTTCCAGAATACTTGTTGCGAAAATACAAATGAAAAGAGACAGAAACCACAAGCTGGCAGCATTGCTGAGCTGCAAGTTGAGCGAAAAATTAGATTAATAAATAAATCTAACACACAAACTTAATAGTTTATGCTCGTACTGTTCGTGTTTCACATAGTTTCCTGTGGCTATAAATGGCATACCTCTGGAGTGATAAATTTCCCGGTAAGCAAGCACACTGCAGGAAGAGTACAATATGCCAGTAGAGGAATAGATGTCAAAGGATAAACAGTAGCGTTTATGTAAGACAGACGCTCCAACCACTTCAACCCCCCTCCATATCCATACCAAAGAGGACAGTGCCTGCTCAAAAATATCTCAACAGATCCAAGAGCCCATCGAAGGACCTGGTGTAGACGATCAGAAAGATTAATGGGCGCCGAACCTTTAAATGCTGGCCTAGCAGGAATACAATATATTGATCTCCATCCATGACAATGCATTTTAAAGCCTGTCAATATATCCTCCGTAACTGAACCATAAATCCACCCCACCTGGGGAACAGAAGCAAATTTATGATTTGCTAAACCTGACTGTCATAATGATTATGCAAGCGAAAGGTCTGAACCCCACAAAAAAATCTAAACATTCCTTTTACCTCTTTGCCCCATTCTGTTTTATCTTCGTAGCCACAGCTAATGACATGGATGGCTTCTTTGAGCAGGGATGCAGGGCTGGCACTTTTCAGTGTGCCGCCATCCTCTAGTAGGGTAGATGCTACAAACACTGAAGATTGTCCAAACTTATTTTCCAATTTCTTCTCAGATGTTACAGCCAAGTTTTCGGTTTCAATTCCTGAATTCAAGCTTTTCCAGTTTAGAAGACAAAATTATAGATCCAACAGGAAAATCATTCAGTGCCTCAAGCAAAGAAAAGAAACGAAATGAATTCAACAACAAAAATTAAGTGCTAAGAAAAGCTTGCAGACAATTACATTAAACTATCTTCAACAAGCAGCACACAAACAAACGAGGAGTCATGTAGAACTTAGTTTTAAAAATGCCCTGAAAGCACTGAGCAGTTCCTAACAGAACATGTCTCAGTAGTCCTTTACATTGCACTACGGAATCAGCTTTACCAATGAAGAAGGGTATCTCGTTTGCATTCTAGAATCAGCCTTTGCTAACTACAAACTGAAAGCTGACAAACTGGGTGGTGGATACGTAAATGATATTCTTTCTTTTCCATCACTTTGACATATAGAAAAAAATATTGGCAATCTTAAGGAAATTGATCAGCATATAAAATACCAAAGTGGGAAATCATAGCCAAGTTCAGTAACATAAGATACGCAGCCCAAGTGGTTTTTTTAGCTCAATTTAAACCTCAATGGTGAAGGAAACTAGAACATCAAACCAGGATTTGAGGAGTAAATTAGTTATAATGTTACCTTCAATGCCCTCTTCAATACCCTCCAAAGTAGCCACAGGTGCAAATGTTCTAGAGTTCCTCTTTTTTAACTCGGACTTGGGTTTGTTTGTCTTCTTCTTCTTTTTCCTTCCTGAACAAAAGCATCCACAGCACCACTTAGGCAAGCAGTTGCATGTCCTCGTTGGTGGTTTCTTTGTTTTTGGAGCATCATAACCATAAAGCGCGTGCCTTCTGAAAACACATCCAGTCCCTACATATATAGGTCCTTGAATGCCATCCAAACCTTTCATATTGATCTGCAGCGATGGAGGAATTCTCTATTAGACAGACAAATTTCAGAAGCAATGAACAATCCGGAAGTTCTGATAAAAGAATGATTACATCAAAGAATACAGTGTTCCGGTTTGCATATCGATCATTCCTGTCAATGCCATCAAACCTCTGTGGGAACTGGACATAGCACACTCTCTTTCCAAGCAATGGATCCATCATGAAACACATTGATTCTCTAAGAGCCTTACTGTTATTGATGTAGTGATCACAATCCAAATTCAAAAGATAACGTGCATTGGATAGCACGGCAGAGACCCTGACCTGTTTGACAGATGAGCACATGAATTCAAATAAAAGTTGCATCCCGATTAACTTTCATATGAACATGTGTGAAATTCTAGGCTCTATTTGTTTGTAGAAAAATTATTTTTTTAGATAAAAAAATTTCAATAAAAAAATAATAGGAAGATAAAAAAATTTCAATAAAAAATAATAGGAGAAAAGAAAATAACAATTATAAAAATGAGGATCAAAGTTAATATAAAAA